CACCCCCCCCCCCCCCCCCACCACAATTACGAAACTATTCAATCTCTTTTTTCCCAATGGCTTCTGTGAGTTGGAGAACTGTGAGCCTATAGGACTCGAATTTGAGCGCACATCGTTGGCTTTATAATTGCGGTGAGATTCGCCTGCAGTCATTTGTGCGCTGCATTTATGTAAAATCGGAATGGATAAACATTTCAACTTAGAATGTCTCGATGAACACAATCAGTGAGTTTTAATAAGAATTCATTTGGCATAACTCTAGCTTAATGTTACTCGATAACTTTAATTTAAATAAGTTTAAATAAGGGAAATAATCGCACGAAACAGTGTAAATTGAATTAATCGCAACTATTAATTATTAATTATTTATTTATTATAATTATATTGTCTTAATATGTATACATATTACAATATTAAAATTTATTCAATTATTTCAATATAAATTGAAGATGGTGGTAAAAATTTGCAATATTTTAATGTAAACCATGAAGATGTTTTGCTGTTTTTAGATTTATTACCTAAAATCATTAGAATTCCTACGTACATTTTGTAATTAAAGCACACTGCTTTTAATGCCTTACAAATCTTTCACTCAAAGGGATATTACTTTAAATGAAGCAGGAGGTAAATCATAGTTCATTTCAACTTCTCAATAGCTTATTGGAAATTAAAGGTCATACTTTCGTAAATACCATGCATAAATATTTAAAAAAAACATTGTTAATTTTATTATTCTTAATCTGTTTTAGTATCCTCTAATGAGGATACTAAGAATAGTGTATCTAGTAGTAAAGTAAAAATTTATTTATCTATATCAAATGGTAGGCTTTATGATAATTATCATTAGCCCTTTAGTTGACTTCAGGCTTCATAGAGGAGGAGGGGGAACATCAAAGTGGAAAAAGTCGAGAGGAGGGGGGAGAGAAGAGTGTTTTAAATATGCAAAAGAGACGGACTAAAAGGTAGATGAAAGGTGAGGTGAGTACTGTGGAAGTGGTCGAATATGACATACAGTTGGGTCATGATAGATTGAACTCAAAAGTCAACTGCCGTTTTATAGACTTTTTGCCGTATGAGTATACGTTGCCCAGGGTGCACCACGTGAAGGTAAGTCTATCGCTCACCCCTAAAGTAAAAATTAATTTCCATAAAATGTCTTTTACGGCTCGAAGCAGCTGTTATACTTTAATAAGTGTTTTTTTAATTATTGAATAAAAGGCTACGCAGATTACATGGCTGTCCTCCCCTACGATTGAGCAAATCCCTCGCAGAAGAAGCTCAGTACTATGCGGAGAAAATGGCCAGAGAGGACTTTTTCGAGCATAGTGAATGCACCGATTATGGGGAAAATCTAATTACTCGCAAGGGACCTAGAGGCGTTGTTTTAACTGGCAAGTATTTTCCTAATTACAGAGAGAATTCACCGAACTGACGTCCATAGCTTTGAAATCGACTATTATTATTCCCTTGGTAATAAAGTGAAAATTACGTATTTATCGCATTTTCTCCAACGTGCATCCTTTCAACTCTGCGTCCATGTGTTCCAATAGCATGAGAAGTTCAGTTTTATACATAAACAGGCATATTAATCGATTGATGAGTTCGGAAATCGATAATGGCACAGATCATCCACACAGCTGTTGTAAATGTAATCTTCAATACCATTTAATATAAGGACTGGTGAACTAAACGCCCCAAGTATAGGTCAATGTTACATTTATTGAAAAAATTAGATTTTAGGCATTTCGGTCTTTAAAAATGTAGTCATGGTTTAATTTCGCATTAACAGTGGAAATTCTTAAATTCTCTAAGTCTTTCGTTACTTGCTTTCAGCTGGAGCCTAATTTTCATGCAATAAGATAAATAAATTTATTTGGATTTGAAATTTTTAAACCATTATTAAATATATTTAGAAAAAAGTGTTCGTGGAAAGCTTATCACTTCAATTGATTGATTGCTCACATCTATCTTATAATATTTTTCATTTGAAATCCAAGAAAAAGTGTTGAATTCTTTTTTAATTTTTTATTTCACATAAGAGTCATTCCGTTGCACTTAGTATCAGATGAGTCAGGTTTGGAGACCATTTCAAACATATTTAAGGCAGGCTCTGCTAACTAAAAACTTTTCTTTACTCGTTTGCTGTTTAACTAGCGTTAAATTATGATGCTTTGTAGAATTCGAGCGTTGTCTCCTGAAACTCATTGGTCGTTTTAATTATTCATGTGCTGAAACTTTCCCATTTCTGAATGGGAAATAAATCGATTGTATCATAATTATTGGGGCCTATAGAAGCCGCTACGCAAGTAAGCCGTAACAAAACCTGTGGCGAATTCCCTCGGTATGAATTTCCTCCTAAAATTAACCCAGCTTCTTCATCATTGTCAAGGAAACCGAGTATTTGGTATGAACAGCATTTATTGTGACTTTGTATAGCTGACACAGGGCTTAGTCATTGAAATACAATTATGACCGTTCAATAACTATAAACTATCGACTGACCGTGAGTTATCCGCACTCACGATCACGCATGCCCAGTAACACATTCAACAATGCTATCATACTTGACGAATAATCTCTCAGTAGCAAATCACCTGTTCTAGAATGTTCGAACACGTATGGTATTCCTTGGTTCAGCCATGTTAGTCTTGTGCCCTTGACAAGTATATGAAAATCCATTATTAATCATGCTAATCGTATCTCTATTTCCTTTCTATCGATCATAAATCAAATTAATTAATAAATAAAATTAATTATAGGTCGCCAGGCAGCCTTAGCGTGGTACAGTGAAATTAGCTTCTACAATTTTAGAAAGGAAAATCAAACAAATTGTGGCAAGTTATAAATAATTTCGCGATTTTAATATTCACTCAACAGTTATGTAACTACTTAAAACACTATTTAGGGCACTTTTGTCAAGTCGTTTGGAAGGATACGCAGAAAGCTGGATTTGGGGTTGCTAGAAGTAAAGATGGACGATCTATCTATGTTGTTGGGCGATATAAAAGGCCTGGAAACTACTTAGACAATTATCGAGAAAATGTTCCACCTCCTCTAAATGGCCTGATATATGTGCCGACTGATGAAGAATTGAGTAAGCCCATCTTAAATTAGTTTTATTAAATTACCACCAATATTAAACATATTAGCAATACTTGTTTCAAAGAGTTAAAGGTTATATTTTTAATATTAGCTGTAAGCATGGTGTAAATGCGTCAGAATTGATTTATTATATATTACTGTGTGTTATATATAATATAAATTTATTGTTTGTGTTTTGTATTAATTTTTAGCATTTTTGATTTTCATTATATATTCTTTTAGCTGGCGTCTCAGGCACACGTGGTAACGACAGATGTAGAAGCTGTAATTCCAAATTTTATTATTACCGACGAAAGTCAAAGAAAGGAGGAGATTATAGAGACAGGGCTGCTCAAGCTTGCTAATTTCCCATTATTTTGTAATTTAGTACGTAAAAGCTATAATACAGCATTCGAATTTCTCACATATTTGATTGTTCTATTCTGAAAAAAAAAGCATTCAATCAACAAGGTTTTGAATTGTAGTGGTATTTATTCGAATCTAAGAAGTTTGTTAATTTTCTTACTTTGCACTATTCCGCTCTATTTAAAATATGCGTATTCGCACTAGCTGAAATGCCAATCCACCTTTTGTTGATTTCCCATTTTTCCACAAATTTTTCATCCTTATTATCATTCGTTTTTCATACAGTGAGTTCAAGTGATATGCTTTCATGTCATCTTCGTTTCGTGCAATTTTAAGCAGAGACAGTTTCTAGAACCACCCTTACATTGCATGCGCACTTTTATCGATTTGACTCTAGATGATGATGTGCACAAGAATTCTTCTTTGAGCACAACTTTCAGATTTGGGCAATGCCTAATAATGTGAGGATTAGAATATTCTGTTGAATTCATCATCAAGATTTCCCCTCTTGCTGATTATCTCTGCCGTTCGAATTAACCTCGAGTAGAAGTTTTCTTGAGATAAGGGGAAAGTAAATATTATAATAGAGCTGGAAGGAAGCCGGAATCTTGCCCACGATAATTAAAAGCATACAATTTGCAAACGAAAACTCGAATTGAAAGGGTATGGTAGAAAAGTTGTCTAATTTATTCGGTGCCTGCAAGTAAATTCAAAGTTCCCTGAGGGCCTTTCTTTGCGAGAATGGAAGCAGCAACAGGATAACTTAAATGTCACTTACCACGTATAAATATTTCAAACCATATTAAAGTAAGTAATAACTAGAGTGATCGTGAAGATGATCTATACATAAGAAGTAGTTAAGTGGTTCAAATAGATGAATTAAAGAGTAATAATTGTAGGGAAGCAATTATATATGGATGGGGAGGTCGGAACCATCTGAATCTACTTTAATTTGGCTCTTGGGAACTTTCACAACAATAAATTACCCTCCAATTGTCAAATATTAGGACCTATTCCCAGATTTCTCAACTTAAGTTCTCTTCGAAAAGTCTTATTGATTGAACTTATTAAAGTTTATTTATACTTATAACTTCAGTTCCTTCTCCCATGGAGGTTAAGGGAGAACTAATAAACATTATTAATTTAATTTCAATCAAATAGCAACCTAATAATATTAAATTCCTGCACCCCTACACTAGCTAGTGTGCATCGGCATAATATCATATTTCAATATAATTAACAGTACAATACCATAAATTCACAAATAATTTGTCAGTGTTCATAGATGTTAATGAGCCCTGAGGATCATTTTAATTGGTATATCAAGTTGATTTTGAAGGAAATATCAAATTAATGAGAAAAAGAACTAAATTTTTATTCCAATAAGGGCAACAAATTGTGGAGAAAGCACTAGTCACTAGAAATAGCAATCGGAGATGGATTATTTGGATTAAATTTGAACAACTCAAAAAAGAAGATGAAAGAAGCAGCTTGTGCTTGTAGGCTGGTAGTGTTTGGAACATTTGGAGGGAGTTAAATAGAATTCATCAGAGATAGTTTTATGCGATTTCTGCATTTAATAAAAGACAAAACTCAACCCAAAAGTATTCCTGCATTTTCAACATCAGAGATTTTGGCTTCACTTACTGTGTAAAATGTTAAGTAATCTCGATCACTGTCAATATCGCCCTGCCTTACGCTCAGTAATTTCTTCCCCACGTTCTAGTAGTTTAGAATGGCCCCTGAGATTGGCTAACCTGCCTGAACAGTATGGAGGAAATAGACGTGCAGTGTGGGACACACCTATTTGGGCTGTGTGTTTTGATAGACAGGGAGCTTAGTCCTTATAAACAATTGATAATTGACCGTGGTATGGAGTGCGATAGACTTACCTCCACACGGTGCATCCTGGGCAACGTATACTCAGAGGGCAAAATAGTCTATAAACTGGCAGTTGACTTCTGACTTCAAACGGCCATCACCCCACTACTTTCACAGTACTCCCCTCACCTTTCATCTACCTTTGTGTCTGTCTCTTTTACATCTTTAAAACACTCTTCTGTTCCCCTCCTCTCGACTTTTCCACTTTGATGTTCCCCCTCCTCCTCTGTGAAGCCTGAAGTCAACTAAAGGGCTAATGATAACTATCATAAAGCCTGCCATTTGATATAAATAAATAAATAATTGGCCATGGCATGACTATTGATTATTGATTGGCTGAGGGGTCACTGCAGTCGTGGTCTCATCTGCTCGTTCCAGAATGCCCGAGTGACCAAGGGATTCTTCGCATCATCCATGCCATCTTTGTTCCCATAGGGTTTATGCTTAGTAAAAGCCTATTTTAATTGTAGTTTTCTTACCAAATTTAGTGACTTGACCTTTCCTTGAGTTAAAGCAGGTGTGAATGGTCTAATAATGTAAAACATTCGAGGTGTGGATAATTATCATAGTAATGACATCGGTTTGTCATGTTTTTAAAAAATATATGAGAGCTTGGCATTAATCTTTAAGTACCCACTTCCTTTTGCACTTTGACAAAGCGGATCTATTCTCTCTTTTCCTTTTCACATTCAAACAGTTTAACAATGTAGCAGTGTGGCGTATTGGCATGTGGTTTGATTTAATT